TTGCTGTATGAAAGCTGTGGTTCAGATCATTGTACTAGAGGGCTACATTGTTTTTCACATTACCGCTGTCACACAAAAGATTTTCTCATCGATTGTTCTGCTGGGCTGAGAACTCGCAGCGGGGTTCAATAGATTTTCAGCAGCAGAGGGATCATTAAACTGAATCAGTGCTGTTTGACAATTATAATCAGAGTCATTTGGGTAAAACAATTTGATATTCAACCTGTGTAATAACACAGAATTCTAAATGAATTTAACCTTTCACATGATGGAGAAAGTTAAAAACAACAGATGATGATGTTAAAAATTGGTGCACGGATAAATATTCATTTGTTTGATGTAAATATATGTTATACAAATTCAGATATATAACAATCACAACTTTGCTATTTAAAATGGTCATATGGAAAATATTACACATTGTGTATATGTAATGTATACCAATACAGGTCAATTCTACTGTATAAATCATTATCGTGAAAGTAATGATATTTTAACTTTCATAAATACTGTGCACAGACCTGCATGATAATTGGTTTCATACGCCTCAATGACCCTCCTTCTTCAACACAACCTTCCAGGAGAGAGCGATGATGTGTGCTTTGGTCTGTCTAGTGACGCACTGTCGCAGCCTGGCGTCACTGGCAAATTACCCAGCAGTCACAGGTGTTTTAGGAAATTATTTGGATTATATTTCACTTTCAGGATCCTGTCCACTTTTCTGTGTTTCACTGCCGGTCTGGTTTTAAGAAACGCCTTGCAAAAAATCTATATCTTATTTGGCATCCCAGATAATCAAATGTCAAAAAACATTGTTATTTGAGGCTCAGGCTGACAGTGCAGCAGGACATCTGTGACAGGCGGTAATTTGTGTCGTGGTCTAACGATGTATTTTATAGGGGACAATGATCTTTTCCAGGAACATCTTTTAAAAAATATATTGAAAGACGCCACAGGGGGATCTGTTTGCTGATCTATGTGTTTTTTCTATAATTGCTGCAGTGGTACATTCCCAAAAAAAGAAGAAAGAAAAAAACATGTGTTTCATTTGATACATGTCATTTCAGTCAGGACACAGTGTACCCAGCTAACAAGAGATCAGTGGAACCTCAGAGGCAGATGACTCAGACGTCAGACTATTGTTGGTGTGTCACTAGACTGCAAATCTAAGGACTGAGTCTTGCGGTTTTTGTCGGCACAACAAACTTTATAGTAGTTGTGTTGAGGGTTTTTCTTACAGGTGTGTAGCTGTGTTTGGAAACTCAATATAATTTACATTCAACCATCATTTCAATGGCATTTATTTGTCCATATTTACCTCCACTGAGCAGGTTTTGTTACTTGATGGTTTGTTTCTTTCTTGTTTCTACTGGCTGGATTAGCAGGCAACTTGGTAAAAGGATGTGATACTGTATGGGTCCCGGAGGATCCCCAATACATTTTGGTGCAAATCCAGGACTTTGTTTCAGTTTCTTTAACGTTGCAAGATCGGATGTTTTTCAACATTTTCCCCTTTTTGCCAGGATTCATGGGCCTTGATAAACAAATCAGGCAAATTTAAGCAACTGATGTCTACTAGTTTGTGCAATGTGGTGCAGCTTGATTGAATTTAAGGGGACTGCTGGTCCTTGGTGGAGGTATGGGCTTTACTGAGTGTCATTCTAGCTTGAACCTATTTGCAACATGCTGTTGATTTTATGAGATCTTAATGTCATAGATTGTGGCAGGAGCCCTCTATCCAGTTATGTCAATAGGAATGTGAACAGATTCTACATTTGTACATACAGATATTTACCTATATTAACATGTATAGATAGAAAATTAGAATGACCTGGGCCTGCTTAACATTTTTATACACATCAAAAGCATGGTTGGATCACTGAAACTATTAAAGAAACAAATTTGTGTAGATCGTGGTTGAAAAATTCAATCTTCCACTTTGTGACCAAATGTGAGCTGAGAGCAGCAGTTCGTTTCACCCTCACACTACCCAGGACAGCTCTTTCAAGCCTCAGCCAAAGCCTGAAGCTGTTGGCCTAGTTTGAGTGTCTCTGAGGATCTGTCAGCAGCCAGTCAGCGTGCTGGCAGGTGGTCTAGAGCCATGACCAACGTGCAGACAGACAGGCAGACAAACAGACAGACAGACCCCCCCCACCCACTCTCTAGGACTACTAATCAAAGGCCAACCCACGGTTCTCCCTTCTTGTCATCCTCGGATCACTGTGTCACTCCCTGTTTCAGAATTACTGATCTCTAAACTACATGAACCTGCAGGCAAAGGGCGACTTCCTTCAGTCCAACACAACCAAGCCAGTAAACGACATGGAGGGTGACACCGTACTATGAACTGAGAAACCGAGCAATGACCCAAAATGATCCATCCAATTGTTTCTACATGAGTGAGCTAGGACCCTGGTTTAACTCCCATTTACGTAAATGTGAAAGTGGTGATAAAATCATCAGAGTGTCAGACTATAAAGCAGCCAGCGAGGCTATTATCAGGCCCAGGAATTCGAAAAGCATGTAATTCCTGGAGGAAAATGACTAAGGGGACTAATCTCCCTTCTTTACTGATGATTGCATCTCTGTCATTAGCGAGGACGGATATTTCCACATTGGGTGTCCTGTCGTAAGCTTGTCTCCATTTCCTCCTCGCAGTGCAATCGAGTGATGGTGGCGCCGAGGAGGAGTCGTCCCTCACTTCTTACTTCCATTGAACAGGCTGAAAGCTGCGTTAATGATCTTTGTACAGTAGATGTGAGCTATCTTTAGCGTTCCCTCAGGAGGATTGTTCCTCCTGTGGTCGAGCCGCCTGTGGTTCTGCTGGACTGAGTGCACACCAAGATACTTCCATGGTGTACAAATGAAGCACAACACTGTGAGAAGAATGCAACGCGACTACACACACTGTTCGTCTATTTGCTCAGAATAATGTATTCACACATCACTGCTGACAGGAACAATGATGACGAGTCCTACAGCTCTCAGACGTGCCTCTTCATGATCACCAGGGGATGAAGGTGATCGTTCAGACTTCAGAAGTAATTAGTAGTGATTATTTATTTTCGCTAAAACTAAACGAGAGAGAGAGAGAGAGAGAGCATGTCACAGTGGGTTTAGGGGACACTTGCTGAGGGATAATTCTTTCCCCTGTTTTTTCTTGTTCCTGTCAGAGGATATATGTCCCGGCATTACATTAGCTATTACATTAGCTGTTAAAGTATTGAAAGGATCTGGTTGGCAATATTCTATAATTTTCTAATGCTAATACACCAAAAAGACAAAACACCAAAATTGAATTAATCT